CAGAAATGTCACACAGTTGAAAAGGTAACTGCAACAGTTCCCGCGATAGCAAATAAGCTTCCTCAGTTAGCCTGGAAGTTTCTAAAGGGCAGACACTAGACTCTCCTCACAAATTCCGGCTCATCATCTGCGATGCCTCGCGGCTCCAACTGTGGGTGTCTGATGACAGGCCCTCAGGAGGCGGGCTGCCTCTGTGGCCGCTCCACACACTTCCGGGGTGCTGACGGCACGGGGGTCTGGGCTAGGAACAGCTCTTTCTGTACCCAGTTAATTAGGAAAACCCGACAACAGTCCCACTTTACGTAGGTGACAAGTGCTTGCGTCAAGGTGTGGGAAATAAGTGGAACTGCTGACAGGGAGAACAGATGGGGGGAGGTAAGAGGGGGTACAGCCACCCTGAATTTTGCCAACATATCTATTCTCTGCTTGCTAAAATCCAACAACAAAACCCCTACTGCTATTGATGCGCTTCCAATTCACAGGGACCCTACATTAGTGTTCAAAACGCAAACTCATTGCCATCAACTCAGCACTGAATCGTATCTGACCTTCCAGCAGGTTTTCAGAGGCTGTAAATTACGCAGGAGATGACCCGGCCGTCTCTCAAGGAGACACTGGTGGACTCAAACCTCCAGAAGGGGACTGCCTGTTGGTTACGGGTGCAAGTCTCTACAGACCACGTCACCAGAGCTCCCCATACTGGGTTTAGGAAGCTGTCAATCTTTTTTTTTTTTTTTTTAATTATTATTTTTGTGTGAGTGTACCGTCAAATCAGATCTGACTGGTACAGGAGGATATTGCCCCTCCTTCCCTGGCAGAGCACCTGGTGGATTCGAACCGTGTGCCTCTGGGATTGTAGTTGCAGCTCCTTGCCACTAGGCCACCAGAGCTCTCCTTAAGCTGTCAATCTTTATGGGAGGTGATGATCTCATCTTTCTCCTGAAGAGCAACTCAACTGCAGACCTTTTTTTCAGCAGTCTGATTAATACACATACACACACAAGAGTAAGGTGCACCTGATCCAGGCCATGGTCTTCACAATAACTTGCTATACATCAGAGAGGTGGACAATGACTAAGGATGACAGGAGGAGAATTGATGCCTTTGAGCTGTGGTGCTGGAGAAGAGTGGTGAATGTATGGACTGCTAGGAGAACAAGCAGGTTCGTCCTGGAGAGGGTGAAGCCAGGCTGCTCCTTGGAGGCAAGGATTTCAAAGCTTTGTCTGACATACTTTGGGCACGTTGCAAGGTGGGACCAGTCTTAGGAGAGGGACATTATGCTTGGAAGGGTAGAGGGACAGAGCAAGAGAGGAAGACCCTCGATGAGATGGATTGACTCAGTGACTGGGGTAACAAGTAGGTGCGTCGGAGACAATGAGGTTGGCTCAAGATAGAGGATGGTTCAGAGCTGTTGTACACAGGGTTGCTATGAGTCACAACCGACTTGATGGCACATAACACAACAACAACAACAACATACGTGCTATGTCACTGAGGTTCCTTTCCTCCTATCTAGTGTACCTCATACTCTCACAGGTCTATAAGGACAAGTGCATTTACATATTTCTATTTCATCACATGTTGGACTGCCAGTCAATAGGTCAATGGCCTGAACCCACCCGCTACCCCTCTGGAGAAAGAAAAGTCTCCTCCCGTGAAGATTTGGAGCCTCAGAAACTCATGGAGGGGACAAGGATGGGAATCAACCCAACAGCAGTGGGATATAAGGATACTCATTGCAGCTGTTTCAGAAAACTGGAAGCCACCTAAATGCACAGAAGTACAATTAATTAAGTGATGGGGCTAGCAGACAATGGAACACTGTGTGGTTGGCAAAAAGAATGAGGAAATGCTTGCTGTGCAGACAGGAAGGGAACAGGACACGTTATCAGACTAGAAAAGCTACAGAATGATACAGATGGTATGAGCTCAGACACTAAAAACGCACATACGTACACACACACACGCAGCCCAACTAATTTTATAGGCATAACAGTTGGGGAGGAGAGCTGTAGAGAAGGGCAGGGAAGGAACAGAGGAAGGAATTGGGAGGGGGAGGGTTCCCTTATCGCGCTATGTAGGTGTTTGAAGGAGCCCTGGTGGTGCTGTGGATTAAACACTGGGCTGCAAACCAAAAGATTGTCATTCAAAACCACATGTCACGGGAGGAAGATAAGGCAGTCAGTCTACTTCCGGAAGGATCACAGCCTGGGAAATCCCATCAGACAGCTCTACTCTGTTCTATACATGAGTCTAACTCCATGGTTAAGTGAATGAAGGAACGGTACAAAGTAAGTGACGAGGGACAGCCTTTTCTGGGTGCGACTCACAAGATCACCCCAACTCCAAACAAGACAGGACACATAGCCATCTTTACATGTAATACAAAGTCTCAAAAACAACCAAGTGATATTGGTGCTGGGGGCGCACAGAGTGGGGCCCGGGAGACCAGGACACAGTCCCAGCCCGACTCTGTGTGGGTGACCCCTGGAGGTCCCACAGCTTCCCCGGCCAGTTTCTCATCTGCACTGGGTGGCCCTGAGGTACAGCACACGGGTTGGGAAGTCCAAAGACCACTAACCGCTGGCATCCTAGTTAAATTATTTACCCTCTGCAAGTGTTTCCTCTTCTTTTTTTTTCTCTCTAGGGAGGGGAACTCCACTGCCATGGGGTTGGTTCAGACTCACAGAGACACTCTGTCTGATTTCCAAGGCTATAAGCCTCCATGAAAAAAAGAAAGACTGCTCACCTTTGTCCCGTGGAGCCCCTGGGGGATTCAAACCAACGACCTTTCCTTAAGCAATCAAACACATAACATACTAAGCCACCGGGACTCCTTAGCCTGGGGGGTGAGGAAGAGCTAAACACTACTTACCCTCTCATATTATTGCCAAGAATTAAATAAATGATAGCATTTATTTCATGTTTAATATACTGCCTGACATATAGCTGCTGAAGGAGCCCTAGTGGTTTGGTGGCTAAGTGCTCAGTTAATCAAAATGTCAGCAGTTCAAACCCAGTAGCCTCTCCTTGGGGAAAAGATCAGGCAGTCGGTTTCTGTAAAGATTTCGTGTTGGAAACCCGACGGGACCATTCTGCTGTCCTCCGGAGTCAGAGTCGGAATCAACCAGTTGGTAAAGAAGGGGTGTTGACCGTTGTGGAAAGATTGTTAGGTACTTGGCGGCTGACACTAAGGCTTGCAGTGAGAATTCCCAACATCTCATGGGGAAAGGACGTGGCAGTCGGCTTCTGTAAAGATTACAGCCCTGGAAATCCCATAGGGTGGTTCTACACTGTGATCCAATGTGAGTTGCAGTGAATGATGGCTTATAGTTTTACTTTTTTTTTTTTTCCTTTTTGGTTTATTGTTACTGCAAACCTCACTGGGTGGTGAGAGGACCCAATGACCTGCAAGCTAAGAAAAAGCTCAAAAGAGAACCTAGTGAGGGGCATTTATGTAAGGCTCCCTCCCCCAGCCCAGCCCCAAGCCTCTGCAGTTTCAAGGATAAGATCACCAATGGAGGCGGGAGAACCGTGGGACACACTCGGATACCTGGAATCTGGAGGCTCGAAGTCTATCTTTATTCACATTATGGACTCAATTCAAAAGAGTTTATTTAGATCTTCACCTCAGCTAGAAAAACAAATTAAAACAAACAAAACCTCACTACCATCAAGTCAGTTCTGACCCCAAGTAACCCTGTAGGAAGAAGCTGAACTGCTTCAGAGAATTCTGCAAGCTTTAAATCTTTACAGAAGCCAACAACTTCATCTTTCTGTCTTGAAGCAGCTGATGGAATCGAACTGATGGCCTGTGGGTTAGCAACCTCACTCTTAACCCACGGCTTCTTCCTGTTAGACAGGAGACAGCAATGAGATGGGGGAAGAGATGGGCACTCAGGAGCTGGTACTGAGGACCTCTATTAGTAAAGTCCAGCCCAGGAAGCCTCCTGACAACTTCAGAGCCTCCTATCTCTGAACTCCAGGCTCTATTGGACATTCTCCAACAGATTCACACTCTTCAAGGTCACCAAGCCCAGCTCAAGTGCCCAGCCTCCCCCCCTCATCACCCTAGGGTGCATACAATGTCCCCATCACTGGTCCCCTCCTCTCCACAATGGGACTGTCTGCTCCTCTTGCTGTCCCGCTCAAGGTTCTCCATGTGACATCCTCCACACATCTGACATCTTGCGACCAGCCCCCCTCTACACCCCCAAATTGGGAGTTTTCTTCTCAAGCCCTTACACAGTCTCCTGCCACATCTCTTCTCCAAGAGACCTGCTTCCCCAAACTCCGACTGTACACACACACGCCAGGACTCTCCAAAGTTTCCTTCCACAAGGGAGGGCATACACCTTCAGCCCAGAGCCCTGCCCTGGGGTCCACCTCCCACCTACAGCCCCCACGTAGCCAGCTTTCCGTGCCCCCCTTCCCCGGTCCCCTCCCGCAGGCTCCAGGGCTCCCCAGCATCCCTCGGCGGGTTGCAAGCCCTTGCAGACGCCCCCTCTCCCTCCCTCGGAGCCCACCAGGCTCCACCTCCACGCTGGGCTGCTCCGCGCGCACGGTGGGTTTGTTTGGCACCCCTTTTGCAAGCATTTGCTCACTTACAAGGCTTGCTTAGACCCCCCCCAAGCCCCTCTCCTTGTCCTTCCATGACTTCGCTCCGTCTCCCCCAGCGCCCTGAGTGCCCTCCCGTCGGGAGCCCCCCGGGGGACAGTCACTCCCACTCGCAGCCCGTGCAGTCGCCCCGCTCCTCCTCCTGTCCCCGCGTCCCTGGGTCTCCCCGACGCCCACCTCGTGCCGGTCTCCCAGGCCCCTCGCGGCCCTCCCGGGGTCTCCCCTCCGACGTCCCCTCACTCCCTCCGAGGGCCGCTCGCCGGCCCCTCCCGCCCCCCCTCGGCCGTCCCGGCGGCCATTGCTCCAAGATGGCGGCGGCGGCGGCGGCGGGTGAGGCCGGGCTGGGCCGGGCGGGGGGCCGGGGGTCCCGGGGCGGTGCTCACCTGCAGCTCGGCGCGCTCGGCCTCCCAGCGGGCCTTCTCGGCTTCGAAGCGCGCCCACTCGTGCTGGATAAAGTGTAGGATCCCGGGCAGGCTCAGGGGCTCCGGTCCCGCCGTGGGTCCGGGGCTGCCTCCGCCGCCACCGCCGCCGCCTCCCTTCCCTGCCGGGCCGGGCCCAGGGGCAGGAGCCGGGGCCGGA